CCACAACTGGCATCAAAGGTTCTTCATCCATACACAGGCTAAACTTTCCATATCCATTCCCTATGTGTCTGCCTCTCCTCTTCTTCTTCTATTTTTACTCTAGTTATTGTGAGGAATTAGAATCCACTCAATTTGTTCAGTTATTTCTTCACCTTAAAGAAGTTTCTTAACAATTACGTATTCTATTTTTAAATCTACATCTACTACACCCGTGAATAAACACACATGTACAGACAGATTCATGTAAAACATGATGGAATCTTCACTGTATTATACCAGTGTGAGCTTCATGGCTTTGGTAATATTTTATCATTGTATGAATTGTGACCAATCAGCAAAATTCTATCAAGAGTAGACAGGTCTCCTCTGAATATTTTTTGCAACTTCATGTAAATTTTAAATCACTGCAAATAAAAAGTTTAAAAAAGATAATGCTGTATTTAAGCTTTCTGCTTACCATCAGAAAAATGTAGCAGACATTCAAGATCTAAACACTTATTTTATTATATTATTATATTATATGATGAAGTTTGATTGTTTTTCAGGCATGAACTCTGAGGAACATGCTAGATTTGACTTTGGTAAGGAGATCAAAAATCATTCTTCCAAAGAGAAAAATAAAGTTTTTATAGAGACCTCCACTGAATTGCAACTCTTCTATTTACAAATTAAATGACCTTGAGCAAGTTACTTAATGCTAAACTGTTAATGCTAAATCTCGGTTTTATCATAAAAATAACTTGCATTCTAGGGTGCTTGAGGTAGTTACAAGACAATGTATGTAAGTGGTATAACATACTTAGGAAGACACGTCATGCAATTTGTCTACAATCCACTTCCTCCCCACAGTGTACAAGATCTAGAAAATTAGTCACTTTGTCTTTTTTGTGCCCCACTGGGACCCATGTATAGATGGGGTATGGAGGTCACACTGACTTTAATTTTGCAATGGTCTCCACAAATTAAGCTAATTTTGTTTGAGAAGTTGGAAATATTCAAAGGAATTTCTATTATGTGTAGGAAAGAGTAACAAGGCTACATAGATATCTTGGAAACCTATCTCTACTGAGTTTTGGAAGATGGATGAGAAGCGGAGGAGTACCACAGCAGCTTATCTCTGCTTTAGCCCTCCCAGTTTAAGACTTCTAGTTGCCTGACCCCGAACCTTCCCAGCCTCCCCCAAGCTGAGCTGATTCTGCCTCCCCAGGTCTCCCCTCTGGCCTTCTCCCTATAGATTGTTGGTAAATTTGCTGTAGTTCTTACCATACTAGACTAGAATTTATAAACATGTGTGACTCTCTGTCTTAAGTCAGAATTTCCTAAGGTAAGTGTTGTCTTATTCTGCTTTGAAGAACATGTGCTTAGTACAGTGGCTGCCATAAAGCAAGTAATCAGAGTCCGATGAGTGAATAAATGAGAGATTATGCTGCGAATTCCCATAATCATGTTTATAGGTATATATGTACATGTATGTATATGTGTATAGACATACATGTGTATGCATATTGTGTGTAAAATATTACATGATGTATGTGAGTTACTTAAGATAAACATATGTAAATCTGTTTAAAAGTTTTTTCTATAGGTTTTAAAAAACATACACATGTGCATACACACCACACACACACACACACACACACACACACACACATATATGGCTTGTTTTTAATTGAAGAAATTAACATTTAGCAAAGTATCTTAGTGTTCTCAAAGTGGTTCTGCACCTGACTTCAGTATACTTTCTCCAGTACAGATCTTCTAGGTCTGGCTTTGCTATCTTTTATTGACCTACATTCCATACAGAGAAAGATTCACTAGAGATATTCAAATGTTTTGAGTATCACCAGTTTACTAATCTACACATTTAAACTAGACTATTTTGCAGGACTTGGGGTCCTATGCATTTCAATCACACACATAGGGAAAGAATCTGCAAAGTTTGAAAATGTGGGACCCAACCTTTCTATCAAAATGAAAGTCATCCCTAGATTGGATGTTGGTCCAGGACGACGTGGTTGCCACTGCTTTACTCAGAAGAGATGCTTCACTATGGAAAGCACATTCCAGTGAGACCCATTCCATGCCCGATGCCTTCCAGCCAGGTGTGCCCCATGAGCAAACGTCAGCATCACCATAGGTGCTTCCATGCAAACGGGCACTTATGTTGAAGAGAAAGGACAGAGAATGTCATGTCCTCCCTTTTCTTTCCAAGTATTCTGGGAAGGAATGACACTAATGTGGCAAACGACGAAGGAGCAGTCATCTCAGGCTTGAAACAGAATCTAGTGAAAACAACTTGGTACACAGAGTACATCTCTCACGCCCAAGTCTGGTGAGTCTTGATGGTGCAGAAATTTCTTCAAGTTCTACTGTGTACTGGATCCTGGAATCAATTTCAAAGGTACTTTGATAAAGACCAAATCATGTACCTGTGCAATTATAGGATGCTCTGGGAGAGAGATGAGAATAATACAGATACACAAATGCTTTCGTGGCACTCATTCTGTGCCAGGCAACTTTATTTCTTGGGGCTTTCCATAGGTAAACTGACAGACAGAGAGTCTGTCTATGCTATGGTGTAGGTGTTATTATTAGCTTCCTTCTGAGATCAGGAAACTAAGGTCTAGAAAGGTTGTTGCTTGACTGAGGTCCTACCCAGTGAGTATGTGATATAGCCAAATTGAAAACTAGGAAGATCTGTCTCCACAGTCTCTGGTCTTGCTCACCATGTTACTTATGGGGCATATGCACTGTGAGAAGTATCTAGAAGTTTCGCTGAAACTTTAGGGAAAGCCATAACTAATAGAGAAACAAAGGAGGCTTTCTGAGATGAGTGAGTTTTAAGTTGCATGAAATGATCTTACGTGTTCATTGAAGAAGAGCTTTCGTTATGAGTCATGCTAGGAAATAAGCTAGAGAGGTCAAAGAGGGTAGAGAATGGCAATTCTTGGCTGTTTTGTAGTGGAAGTAGAATTTAATGTTAGTGCAAAGGAGACTCAGTGGAAGGTCGTCAAGGGGGATGGAAATGTGATTTAGATTTCATTTCCCAAAGATTCTTGGCCACAGAGGAGGAATTGGAGCAAGATAAAGGGTAGAGGGTCTATTCAAACTACACAGCCAAGCAACCTTTATTGCATATCTGCCAGGGATATGCCAATCCCTGTGACAAATGATAATGGGTTAAAACAAAGCCAAATAATGTAAAGAGAAATGAGATGCTTTTCACATTATACTGTTCTACTCTTTATCTATGGAGCATCTATAGCTGCTATCAGAGAATTCATTTTTGGGGCTGGGGAGATAGCTCAGTGGAATAAGTGCTTGCCTGGCAAGCTCAAGGTCCCGAGTTCAATCCATGGTACCACCCCCCCCCAAAAAAAAAAAAAAAAACAAGAAAGAAAGAAAATGCATTTTGAATTTGTTTTCCCTTAATCTTTATATGAATTACAGCAATATTTGTGAATTCCTTATATTGATGGTTTTCAAACACAATGATTTTGGCCCCCAGAACATTTAACAGTTCCTGGAGATTTTTTAAAAATGTATTTGGTACAGGTCTCACTATGCCATGCTGACTTGTAGTGATCCTTCTGTTTTCAGCCTCCGCAGCACTGGGATTACATGCATGCACCACCACATCCTCACTTGGTGGCCGGCTCAGCACACCTGGGGGTGGGGCCAGCTCAGCATGTGATGACAGGAATCGAACCCCTATCACTGCACTTGCCAAAGCAGGTGCTTAATCTGCTGAGCTATCTTGCCAGCCCAGAGATTTTGTTTTTAATGTCATGCCAAGAGGAAGGGTGCTAGCTGCAAATGGTAGCTAGAGAAGAGCGATACTATTAAAATTCTCTAAAGCACTTGGAAGAGCCCACAACAAAGAATCATCTTATACAAACATGAGTAGGGCTGTGGTAGAGAAAGTCTAAATTAATTTGATTTGCCATCAGTTTCAGGTAATAGGCATTTTTGGAAAAAAATGACAAGAGTTCTTGACAATGGAATAATATCTTGTGAAAAGCAATCAAATTTTAAATGTTCTTACAAGGTCTTGCAACCATCTTAAATTGAATGAATGGTAATTCAAAATGTTCTGTTTGTTTATTGTATATTCATGAGCTCAATCAATATAGCTCTATGAAGCACCTATTATGGGATGGGCACTGATCAAATTCAAGGACCAAATGTTTGGATCAAGCATAATCTTCAATGTCAAGAATAGTTTGGCAAAGTGAGATAAAGTTAAAATTCGCGCTTAGAAACTTGTTCTCTAAAGTCAGACAACTGAGTTGCTTAGCCTCTCTAAACTTACACTTAGCCTATATTAGATGGAAATGCAATGATATAATTCATGTCTGAAGGACTCAGACCAGGAATTGGACATCAAGTAAAAGGATGCTATAATTTATATCTACATGCCTCACTCCAACCTCATGGGCTTATAGCTGGGGCTTTTGGGAGGTTGTTGGATTATTGGTATATGATACTGGATTATGGATGTGTGATAAATGGGTCAGTTCACTGAATGAGTTAATGTAGTTTTGGGGGTTGCTGAATAGATTTGTAGAGGACAGAAGATCACCCCCACCCCCGGGTATCATAGTACAAGACAGTAGGCTGGTAGCTCGAATGGAATAGAAGGGGAAAGAAGGAAGGCTTGCTGCTTTCTGTCCCCCCTGCCATGGACTGTTTCTTCTCTACCATGCCTTCCTGTTATGCCACCCATCTTGAAGCCAAGAATCTATGGACTGAAACCTCTACAAACTGAGTTAAACTTTAACTGAAACTTTAACTAGACTGAGTTAAAGTTTAACTGAGTTAAGCTTTCCACCTTTAACTTGTGGGTGTTTGGTATTTTATGCAAGCAACAAGAAAATAACTAAGACAGAGTATGTGCATGAAACAGGATTTTTACCCAGCATATAGAAAGTAATCAGATGACATTCATTTCATTAATGTAACAAACATTTGTAGTTATGATTTTTTTTAAGTATTTGGTACAGGGTCTCACTACACAGCTTGGACTCATAGTGATCCTCCTGCTTTCAGCTTGTAGTTATGATTTTAAGGGAGAGTAGAAATGGAGTAAAACTCTTCTGAAAGAAGCATTCGCACTTCAAGAAAACACACTTTGCATCAACTTGGAGGTAGGTGGGTAATTCTGCAGGCACTCAGGGCACTAAGGTAATTTGCCAAAATCCAAACCAAAGATGAAGCTGGTCTTCATAAGGATAACAGAATGAAGATAAAAGGAAGCACGACTCAAAGTAAGTTTTAGTAATTGACTTGTATGATCTCAATTATGATAGAAATAGTAAACTTCTGTGTAACACATTCTACTCTTCTTCCTGAGCACAGCTGGACTCAATCTCCTTGCTCACTGGCCAGAGGTGCAGCCAAGAGAGTAATAGCCAGAAAATGTGAGCAGCAGGGATGTATGCCTTTCTCATCTGGATCCTTGAGGAGGAAAAAACAAGACAGGATTTCACCCTGAAGCTAAATTTAACCTAGTCCAGAGTAGATCAACCCAACCAACTAACTTCCAAACATGTGGATTCATTGTTACAGTATATGGCACTAACATTTTGTCATTGTTTGTTAAGCAGTACCACTATGTCAGTGGTTGTCTGATACAACCAGAAGGTGGGTGGTTTTCAAACGAAAGAAAATGGCTATGATTGTTTCTCAGCCTTTTGGCTAAGATCAAGTGAAGAGAATGGATGACTGTCCAAATTAATTGATTCAAATTTAATTCATCCATCTTATTTTCTGAAAACATATCTGCTATCTCTGGTTTCATAAATGGTCTTACCACACATCCAGTTGACAAGAGTCCTGTGTTTTTAGGCATGTGCCTTCCCTTCCTTTTTGGAAATCCCATCTCTGCAATGACCAGACTCTACTACTTTATTACTATATTGTTTGTCTATCTCCTTACACTACTCGTTTACCCTTGCTACTACTCTAAGTCCATGGACACCTTGCCTTCATTTTTTCCTGTTCTACTCACTATACTCACACATTCACAGTCCCAACAATCCATTCTCCACATTGCAACTGCTGTTGTATTTCTAAATGTAATGATTTGTTAATGGTTTTTCTGTGCCTTTAGTGCAAAGCCCAAACTCTATCCTGATGTTTCACTTTCTATTCAGCTCACATCTGCATTCAGCTACTTTTTAGAGGGCTCCCATCCCTCCCTATTCTGAACTGTCCCCTCCAAGCTATTTACATTTCCCTATTGTGTCAGTATCTTTCTGAATCTCAAGCCTGTGTGTGCGCATGCTCTCTCTCTCTCTCTCACTAGAAGTTTCATTTCTCTCTCTTTTTTAACTAGCATCTTACATCTTCTAAGAGTTGAATAACAATCTCTAGGAAACTTGGCTTTACCTGTTTCTCAAGTAAAACAGGGCTCCCTTCTCATCCCCTTCACTACATCCCATAAAGATTTCTACCCCACTACCTCTATTGGTTCATAGTATTTTTTTCATGTAGACTCCCCTTTCTGCTTATTTCCTTTTGGCTTTCCACAATCTGGAGCAATAAGGAATTTCATATTAATGGTTGCCAAGTGACTCAATTGTGGATCAAATGCATTTATGATATCTTTTTTTTTTCTTTTCAAAGTTTTATTGATAAACATATAGCAATGAGACAGTTTCAAATCAAATCAAAAGTACAATTTCAACAAATAATACACTGCATATATTCTTCTTAGTGGTTAATTGCTGTACAAGATGCAGACCTGTGATCCTACTTACAAACACCATTAGAAAAAATCATTCCATTCATTAAGAGAATGCATTTATGATATCTTGATATAATATTCTCTACTTACCTAAGTTCTCCTTATACATAACAGGTCCATGAGGTCCCCTCAGAGATGTGTACCATCTTTGGCACTGAGAAGTCTGTCATTTGTCTATATATAGTAGTTATTGGTGAAGAATGTGGGACTTTGGTGACAGGCATGATGGAAAACTGTCAAAGGGTCTATGGAGCAGCATTTAAAGGAAGTATCACCATCCAGGCAGCCATAGGCAGATCTACAGCTGATAAAAGGACAGTCTTTTTTTAGTTTCTATTCAGTGTTCACAGTACCCACTGCCACATGCCCAGTCACTGTGAAGGACTTGCATTCTGATTATGAAATACTTGTGTGATTCTCTTCTACTTCTGGGCTTTGACATCGATCTATATGACATTCAGTGCCTCTTTCTATTTTAAATTTGGTAAAAACACTATCACTTATCAGTATTATCATCAAATAATGAACTTCACATGCTTGACATTATCTTTTTTGATGGAAAAATTGCAAAACAAATTTTTGGGATTTTGGAAGTTCATAGTTCCCTTCACCCCTCACACCTCTCTTTGGATATCACATGTTCTAACCTTGCTTTTGGGAAACCATAACTTTTCTTTTCCTTCAAAACTTCCACAGAGAGACACTCAACCCCTTAAAAGAGTTGATATCCTTCATGGGTCCTATGTCTTCTATAACAAATGTCTTCTGGATCATTTAACTCACCTTTATGTGGCAAAGGTGATTTTGATCACTTCATTTTCATGTTTTGATGGTTCTTCTTGGGTTTTTTCTAGTTTGCAAAGCACTTTTTAATGTCAAATATGGAACTCAATAGTTTAGAGGAGACTGGGAATGTCACCTTCCTCAGTACATAACCTATGTCTGTAATGATTAAGCCTAAGTTGTGGTAGTCTTACTCCCTTCTCTCCTTTCCTCTAGTTGCCACCATATTATCATCCTATTCAACTGATTGCCAGCATCTGCTTTTTCCTTATGTGCCTATTCAAATCTTCTTTCTCCCAAGTTTGGATGAACTTTCTCAGAAAGTTGGTATATAATAAAGACTACAAATAAAAACCCTTCCATCTTAGTAGAGGTAAGATTATGCCTGGAGTTTGACTCTTGATTTTGCTATTGGTTAATGTTTATGTTTCCTAGTGTTAGTGTTCTTTAATGGGAACCTGTACAATGAGTCTTACCCAAATCCAATCTGTGGGGTTCTGCATAGGGTGAAGATAAAAGGTCAAAATTTCACTGAAAGTTATTAGGATCCGTGCCTCCAGAAGGCTAAGTGCTATAAGTTACATGTGTTAGCTGCCATTTAAGTAAGTCTGTATTTTTGCACTCTTGGAATTTGGAGATATTCTGATTATACTATACAATACTTAATGTCTATTAAAATTATATGATGTAATTAAAATTATATTGCTCGTATTCACATGTCCTTAATTCAGATCATTGATAAAAATATTGAACAGCATAGTTCAGACACCTGAGATGGAGGAAACACCAGGGAAGACTAGTTCCCAGGTGTGCACTGATTTACCTTAGCAGCATATATCAATGATTGCTCTGCCATGAACAAATAAGAAAAGAGACTCTATCGAGATGAGGCCTGTATTCAAGATCCAAGGCTTAGGTAGGTAAGAATTTATGTCTTTTATCTCTCATGATGCTTTTTCCTGCATAGTTTTGTCCTCTCAAGAATTAATGGGAGCCTTGTCATGTGCTAGACACATAGATGACAAACTTTGAGATCTAATTTCTGAGGTTTCAACTTTTAACAGTGATCAACTGTAGTTTTCTCAACCCTGGAGTATCTTTTCTTAATATCCCTAAAATTTTCCCTTCTGCCTTGATCAATAATGAATGATGAATAACAATTAAGAGATTGTTCCCAAATAATTCCAGATATCTTAAGTGAGAAACAAAATTCTCTCTAGATCCTGACTCATATGTGTATTCTGCTATCATAATTCTTGCAGCTGGCTATTTTTAGCTGGTTCTTTTTCATTGGTTTCAGAAATCCAAACTTACACCAAAATCCAGGAACTTGCCAAAGTGGCCAGAGCCCAAGTCCTTGCTTGCCTGCAGCTAACCAGGCCTTAGAAGCGTGTAGAGCTCCCATTTCTGAGGACAAAAAGAAGGTCAATTGGTATGGGAGTGAACAAACACCATCAGGCCTTTAAAATTTATTGATACAATTATTTATACAGCAATCAATTGGATAGTGTCTCTCGTCTTTCTCTCCATCACTCTCATGTGCTTCTGAATGCCTGATTGTTTCAAGTGCATGCATTAACATATACACTCAAGTTATCAGTGAAATATGGCTTTAAACATAGGATTTATTGTGTACTTACAATGGGTATGACCCCATGTTTTGTGTTTTGTCCACTTCCTACAAAGCTTCCTTAAAGCTAAGTAACATTATTATGCTTATTGCACAGCAGCGGAAAAGGGAGGTGCAAAAGGGAAAATTACTTGAATAATTTACATAAGGTAGAAAATGACAGAGCTGAGATGCAAAGGCTAGGTGGTCTGAATGTGAAATGAATTCATTCCTTGTGCTCTCTGCTCATCTTTTGCTGACCCATACGGTGGTACCAGGAGGCGTAAAGTTTATGGGTGGGGCAGGTTCTAATATCAAGGCATCATCCCTTTTTATTAGTATATTATAGGTATACTTCACAACATGCTAGGGAAGATTTCAAGTGAGGTCTGTATCAGAAATGAGAAAGGAAAAAAAAAAAGAAATGAGAGTGAAAGGAAGGAAGAAAATAATGAGACACCATTATGGAATTTGAAAAATATGATAGCTCACTTGTTTGAGTGGAGGATAAAAATTGGATAGCTTCTATATTGGGTAAAGCACTGTGGCTCTTGTAACATGAGATAGGAAAGCATATTTAAGACAACACAGATTTGAGTAAAAAGTAACCATCTAATCAGTATTCAAAGCAGTTTCTTTATTTGTCAAAGAAAGAATTTATGCCTGCCTACACACTCTCAGTAGAACAGAAAAAAAATCTGTAAGATTAGGCAAGTTTTAATTTTGATTGTGCACTGGAAATGTATAACCCTAGCAAGGCTGCATGATAGATAAAATATTTTTAAACCAGGACAAAGATTGAATTACTATAAAGAAATATGTTTAATTTGATTGAGAAAAACTCTGTGACATATCTTGGAAAGTACATGCGGTAGACGATTTGCCAGCACTTTCTCTGTCCAACCGGGAGGAATTTGCATAAGGGGAAGCTGGTCACTCCTCTCCACCATGCATGAGCAGGACAGTAGTGGCACATGAGTAGCCAGTGGCTCGGCCTCGGTGGAAAGACTACAACCAGAGCAGCCATCCACCAGATCAGCCTAAAACGACTCGTTACCAGGTCTCTGATAGAGCAACCAAGAGGCTCCATCTTCTGTCCCTTCTTATGCAAAAAAAATGCTTCAGAGGTTCCTTAGTGAGATAATACTTTATCATTAATATCAAAATGAGCTTATGCAGGGAGAGGATAAAACATCTTATTGTAGCTTACTCAGGATCTGAAGAATGAAAGCATCACCTCAGACTATCCTCCACTTGGGTATTTCAAAACACTTCTACTACAATGAGAAAACATCAATAGGGACAATAATGAGGTTTTCTTTCACATGTGATTTTCCAATGTATGAAACCTGTATGTATTCTTTATTTAAAAAATAAATGACCCACACATTTTTTGCAGTAAAAACACAGGCAGAGCAACAGACTTTATTTAGGGAGACTTTCAGGTGGTTAATATTCTAAGCTATAATAGAGAGTTTAACCACAGGCAGTGATAGGGTCAACCCTTGGCAATAGACAGGCTCTGAACTAGATTACATTACTGAAAATCACTGCTGAAGACAAAAATGAACTGAGACTTTCAGATTGAGCTGGTTGATTTGTAAGGAGAAAATTGTGGGTTTGTGAGGGAGGGTTGGAAGTGGGGTTTGGGAAAAAAATATCAAGAGGAAGGAAGAAACTTGAAACCACTACCGTTCTAACAACATCCTTATTTTCTGCAAGTAGCTATCAAAATCATTCAGTATTTCTTACAGACAAGCAGTTTTGCATCTTAATCGTAGCTGATAAACAATCTCCTTTCACATTTATGCACAGGCTTCTGAAAAATGGTGACTTTTTTCTGCTAAAAGGAAAAATACTGCATTTCTCTCAAGGAAAGAAATGAAGTCAGAATCATTGCTGAGACACACTTTGGCATTTAGGAAGCACGAGCTACTGACAGATGCTTAATGGCCTAAGTATCAGCAAAATCAAAGCAAGGAAATTGCTCAAAGGCATCTAATCGTTCAAAAGATAATTGCATATAGCAGTTCTCCTAATTTACTTGCTACTGGTGTTGGTATCAGTTGAGATATTCAGTATATCCTAGGAAGGCCACTTGTTCAAACACCACAGATTTTCTGCACAATGCTTTTTAAAAAGATGGACTATATATTAAAAATAGAAAAATTATGCCCAAACAGATGGCATCTACTAATTGCAATAGTCAGATTTATTTACTGAAATAGTACAGAGATATAGGCTTGAAGGCAGAAGACCAGATTGTAGGGGCTCGGTAAGGTTGTGCCTGCCTCAACAGTTCTGGATTCTACTTTCTGTTATCTCATTCAATGAATTTAAATAATCTCATTCTTGTAAATAAGGACAGAACTTTATTTGGGAATGTTAGATTTACAAAGGTTGATTTGTCATCCAAATAAAAGAATGAAAAATAATTTATCATGAAATCTGAAAATTGTTTGTAGAGCCCCTCAAACAAATTCATTTGCATTTAAGTCATACATTGAAAAATAAATCATTGTCAAGTTTCCAGGAATACATGAGGCTTGCTGTCTTTTTCACCTAACAACTTGAACAACTGACAGGTAGTCCCAGAGAGAGATAGTCCTCCATGTATAGGCATCAGTCTGTTTTCTGCCTGGACATTTCTAAGTAGCATGAACAGCATCACATTTAAAATAGTTCAATGCTGGGCCAATTTTGAAAGTTAGTTCTTATGAACATATGATTTATTTTCCATTTACAAATTAAGCACATGGTAAAATATGTAAATCATATAAATTTTAATCATTGAGCACTGATAAAATAGAACTTTTATTGACTATTGAACTTGGGATTTATCACCATCCTAACAGTTTGGTAAGATAGGAGCACATTTTCTTCAGATTCATCACATTTATGCTCAAATAAGTGATTAACAAGTAACAGATTGTTTTGTAGCTAAAATACGATAACTCAGTCAGGGTAATCCTCAAGTTTCAAATTGATTATTTAAATAAATGATATACAAACCTTGCTAGGAAATATCAAATTTGCATAGGTAGTCTTTTAAATGTTTCAGGAAACCCTTCCAGCGTTATTTGGAAGATCCCTAAATTAAAGTACACAAGTATAACTTTCAATTGTTTGAAATATAAAATGATATTGTTCACAAATTAATATACTAGCAAGCCACTTGTCATTTTCACTTTCCATGCATATAATATGAGCATGCCAAGCCCAAATTACCCTGAGTTAGCTCTTCTCAAGCATTAAACTTGTTTTTAAGCTAACAAGTGACATAGCAAAAAATAAAGTCTTATTATTATATCTTACAAACATTTTTAGCCTTCTACAAGCACTCAGCTGTCAAGTGAGAATTTGTTGCGGCAAAAAACAACTTTAGTTACAGTCCTAGACTTTGCAAGAAAGCAACTCCGTCTACCAGTTTCATCAAAACAATGCATCTGTTGTGAATAAATAATTTGCCCATACGTGCAATCTTTCCAGGGAGGAGTTTCCAGTCTCTTTCTCCAATGGATAAGTGACAAAATAATTGCTGAAATACAAGGCTTCCCATTGTCAGCAGTGGTGAAATTGAAGACTAAGCCACCGGAAGCACCTTCAGAGTGTCAACAGTACAGGAGTCTCTGGGTGAAAAGCTTCCCATCCGTCTTCCAGCAAACACTGCGTGCATCCCTGCCTCAAGAAGGCGTTTTCTGGGGAGCTCGATCTTCCAGGGCCTCTTGTTCTTTTGGTTGTTTCCTAGAATAGAAGAGTACGTAATTCTTGGGAAAGTGAGCCTTTGATGCTTCTTGTTTTCTTTCAAAAACAGCTCATGCAATCAGAAGCAGAGCCACAGCATGAGGTCACACTTCCTGTTGGGCTCACATCGGTGGCAATCACACGGAGGAGTCTGCTAGGGCTTTCAAACAGTCTCCTGGGCCAGCAACAGGAGGTTTGCGATCCATGACTCAGGTCATTCGGGAGCACAGTGATCACTGGTGAAGTCGGTTCGGAGCTACCTCATCATTGGTACCTGCAGGAAGACAAGAAAAACTCTGCGAAACAGTGTTTCTTGCTTAGATCATAGGTATCAGCATACAGAGTTTGCCAGGGTGAGAATTCTACATATTAACTGGTATTTTCACCAACTGATGACAATTTGAAAACAGCAATGTATAATGTAAAAACCACACTTGAATACATCCCACCCTGGCCTCCTAAATGTGTACTGTTTCTAATGTCTTATTAATTATTATTATACTCTCTTTAAATAGTTTTTTGAAAAAGTAAAGAAAAAAAGGACAAGAAAAAAATTAAGGTTTCTTTTTTTTATGTACTAAATACAGGGTCTCACTACACAGATCAGACTTACAGCAATCTTTCCATTTTCAGCCTCCCAAGGACTAGGATTACAGGCGTGCAGCACCACGCCCAGTCTCAATCGCCCACTCAGCATGCCCAGGGGTGGGGCTGGTGTGGCACTCTGGGGATAAAACCCCAGGCCCTGCCTCTGCTTAAGCAGGTGCTTTAATCTGCTGAGCTATCTGGTTGGCCCTAAGAAAGAGAGTTTATTTATATGTATTTATTTACTTATTTTGTGCTATGAGGGAATCAAACTCAGGACCTTGCACATGCCGGGTAGGCACTTATGCTGCTGAGCTGTCTTCCCAGCGAGATTTCTTGAAAGCAAGCAGTAATACTCAATTATGTGTGCAATCTTGCGTAACTGTATCTGCTAATCTGAGCAACAGATTTGATGATAAAAATAGATAATATAACAATGATTGTTAGTCTTGTTTCAAAAATCTATAACATATGTATTGTTTTATGCTAACCTGTTTCTGTCTTTGTTTCTGCTGTTTGTTTTTGCTTTTGTTTTTATTCTTCAAAATAAACTAAAATTAAATTTTAAAAAAGAAATTTGCAGAATTAAAAAAAATGTTTCTTGCTCATTATCATCTGGCCAGTTAGAGAAGTATATAGTCCTTTCCTCTGTCCAAATCACCCAAATTTTTGGAAAACAATTCATTGATTATTTTGTATTTGGAGTACTATTAAATAATGCAAACACGATTATATAAAAATTTCCATAGTGGTAATGACTTGCTCCAGTAAAAGTTGGATTTCTTTCAGAAAGACTCCATGAGCGACATTTTACACTTTATATGACCTGTTCAAAGGAACTCCAAAACGTTGATGCTTTTTGTGCCATTTCAGTGATAAAAAGAATGTATGTCCTAGGAATCTTCAGGCAGCACGAGGTGGTGAAAGATTATAGCTTTTGTGGTCACACAAACCATGATGCAAATATTTCCTAACACTCTTGTGGCCTCAGGTTTGTGATGTATTCTCTTTGAGTGACAATTTTCTTCAACTGTAAAGGTACTTCACTGAATGGCTTGGAAAGTTAAATGAGATAAAAGTAGTGAAAGGTGACTGAGTCTTCAGGACAAATGTGCAGAACATATTCCATACATATTCCATTGTTTGCTGGGACCTCAGTTGATCAGGCTTGTAAGAAAGGGGAGTGCATTTACTCTTGGGGGCCTCTTTACCGCTGAAGTCATGGTACATGGCAAGGGTTTCTATAGAACAAGACCTGGGCACCAGAAACTTTTGGAGAGTTCAATTGCTGCTGGGACAGCTCCTGAATCTGTTTCCTCCGGATCTGGAAGCTTCTGCGTTGCCTTGCCCCCTCTGTCAACTTTCCATATTGAAACAGGGACAGAATGACTCTGAGCAGTCAAGTGCTGTGAAACTCCTAGCCCTTGGGAGTGGGGACCATTCCTTGGTACAGCCATGGTTTTGCTCCCAGATATGATAGACAATTGTTCATGACGCTTGGCTCTACCTTCCAGAAGGCAAAAGAATTTCAATCCCTTTGGTTGCACTGGCCGATTCCAAAAAGTAGAGAATGTATCTTCTTTGAGTCTACCCAATAGTTTAACTTATTTTATGCTTTTTATTTTACTTTTTTGTTTATGCTTTTTTGTGTTTTAAAATATTTTATAGTTTTTAGAAGTTAAAAAATAGATACTTCGAGACTGTGAATAGTCATGACTGTCTTGAAACAAAGCTTGCACCCTTTTGGTTAGGCAATCTACTCCTCCATGTTTCAGCAAATTCCCTATATCCGTCTCCTTACCTCTAATTCTTTCAAGTTATAGCCATTTCTGTTTTTAGTGTCTGGACCTTTAAAATCACCAGGTTATCCATTTCTTGAGTTTTGCTAGGAGTCATATAAATAATTCATTGACACTCTTTGAAGAACTTTCAAACTCTTTGGCTTTATGTGAATGAGATCTTTGTTAGCCATGTAAATTGTGCTGAGATTGTAAGAAGTAGATGCCACTAAAAGGTGATCTATCCTGTAGATATTAAGGGAGTAATGATTATATATATATATATAATCATAGGGATTATACTTATCAATACATGGATAATATAATGAAAATGTCAATTATATTCCAATAAAAGACAAAAAATTGGAAAAACTAGTGAACCAAGACAGATTTGAATTTACCTTAACTGGCTCACTGTAATTACTTTTTAATAATAATGGAATATCTCACATCTGATAGTGATAGAAGAGTGGAATCGCTAAGGGCTTTTTATGATTTTTATAATCCATAGTTGATGCATAGTTTGATTCATTGCAGTATTTTCATTATTTGCCCTTAGATTTGATTTTTATAATTGATATTCTCATATTTTCTTTGTTGATAATGTGCCTTTGTAGGATTTTTGTTTTATTTCTTGCAACTAGAAATCCCATCTCTCAAAAGTACTGTAGATACATCTCTGCTGTTTGTTCAGGGTTCATATTAAAATTGCAAGAGTTTTGTTTTGGTTTGAGTAGAGACAGAAACAGAGGTGGAGAGAGATTAAGAAATAGAGGAGTTAGTAGAAAAGGGAATTTAGAGAGCAGGGAAATGGATTAGCTAGTGAAACTCCATAATAAAGTGTGAGGAAGAACAGACATCCTGGGTGGCAAGAACCGTATTTGATTCATCTGTGGAATCCTCAGCTGAAAACACAGGGTTGGATGTAAAGTAAATCCTCAAAAAGTGTATGTTTTTATGGAATCATAATGAGTCAAACTGAGATTTCCCTCTGACAGCATAATGACTAGATAAACGGTTTACTGCAAAACCCAAGAAAGGACTATTAGGAAACACCTGGCATTTATATATTGATGATAGCTTTCATACTATGTAAGTCTTTCCCATCCAACTTAATTCTCATTACAATTCTATGAAGTACAGCTAAAATTTCAGTTTCCATGTTACAAAAAGTGAATCAGAGAAGTATCTAGTCCCCAAATATATCTGTAGTGCATCAGACCTAACAAACAATCCCTAATCTTATTCCATATCCCTGACACATTGTTTTATTGTTGACTACTAGGAAGAAATAGAGAACAATAGCTAGAAGCAAGTTATGAGTTGGTTGCTTTAAAATTCAAAGTCTCTTATAGTCTTCAACATGTCAACGGGGAAAGAATGAGAGAGAGAGAGAGAAAGAGAGAGAGAGAGAGAGAGAGAGAGACAGAGACAGAGACAGAGAGACAGAGACAGAGGCAGGCAGACAGAAAGCCAGAACTAGAGCCAAAGCCAAAGGGTGCTTGCTTGCTTTCTGGTATAACTGGCTCTGTTGAATATTTTCAAAGTTTTCAAAAACACAAAGGGGAAGTAACCCAATACCTGACCGCAAGGGCATATTGTCTCAGAATCTTTACTAAGACAAACTGTGGACTACAGCAGTGCTCTTGATGAAAACTCGTCTACCGCACGTGCCCTCAGAGAAAGCCTGTTCTATCTGTATGTCACACAGTTACCTTGGAGATGTTGCTGTTGCTTTCTGGTCATGGCCGAGAGAAGATACTGAGAGAAACTGCAAGTGGCCAGCTGCGAGTGATTTTGCATAGCCTTCCATGCTAAAATGTCGGCTGCATCCAAATTAGGGCTTTGATTAAATTAACTATGCTAGTAAATGCCTTAAAAATCTGGAATTTAGATTGTTCTTTATTATGTTCTTTGAATCTGGCACTGTTCTTGGCACTTTGCAGATGTTTAATGAGTGCTTGTAGGGAAAAAAATGAAAGAAGAATCATATTTTTGTCAACACTTGAATTAAATGTAGAATTCATTAATAATTATTAGAATCTGCATAGAAATCTTATTTGAAGTTTACTCAACCTTTCAATCCTACTCTTGGAGTACCTGTTCCTATATGCAATTTTTCTTGATTTCTCAAGTCAAAATTAATATATTCCTATGCCATCTATATTTTAACTAATTTATATTTAGCTTAATTTATATATTGTGCTTGGTTATTTCTGTATTTATCTCCCTTTCATGACAAGTCAGTTTAGTTTAAGTACCTAGTTTTAAATTTTTTCTTCATATTTCTGCACTATATCATCTTCTATCTAGCATTAGATAAGAATTAAATAAAAAATTGTCCAATGATGTTAACTAAATGTTTGTGGCTGCTCCTAAATGCATCTGTTGAAACCCTAATCCTCAACAGGATGGTATGAGAAGGTGGGGTTTGGGGCAGTTAATTAGATCACAGGATGGAGCCTTTGTAAATGAGGCTAGTGTTTTTAGCAGGAGCAGAAGAGATGATTGAGGGATTGGGAGATAGCTCAGTAGAATAAGTGCTTGCCTGGAAACTGCAAAGTATTGAGTTCAATTCCCGGTACCACAAAAAAAAGAGGAGGAGGAGGAGGAGGAGGAGGAGGAGGGA